AAAAAAAAAAAAAAAGAGTCAGAAATAAACCTTAACTGGGGAAATTTCTAGCTCTTTGATCAGGGTTGGGGATCGCAGAATCATGTAACGGATGTCTTATCAGAAACATAAGCACATTTTCCCTCTCAATTTTCTGTTCCAATAGGCATTGTTATATAGGAAAAAACTTTAGAAATGCAACGTGTGTTGTGATAAAGCATGTGCTATAAAGATACATTACTAATCAAATATTCTATAATACTAAACATGTTTTTTCTCAACTTTGCAGCTATTGACATTTTGGGACATTTAATTCATTGTGGTTAGAGCCTGTCCTGTGCATTGTAGAATGTTTAGCAGTATCTCTGGCCTCTATTCACTAGATGTCAGTAGCATGCCCCCAGTTCTAACAACCAAAAATGTCTCCAGACATTGCTAGATGTCCCCTGGGAGCAAAATCAGTCCAGGTCAGGAACCACCTCTGCTGGAAAGTAAGGCTGCTTTCTTTAGATTTTTTTTTTTTTAAGCCACTTAAAATATTCCAATGAAGAATTTGATTCTTTCTCTTTTCAAATATAGGAAATATTGGCATATGAAAAGAGAAAGATGCTCAAGAGTCATCTTTAGATTAAATAAATAATTCACTTAAATATACCTTCTGAGCTAGAGCTAAAGTGGGCACCTTAAATTATTCTCAGTACTTGCACATTTATTCTTGCTTTTTATGCTCTAAGGTATAATTTTGACACAGCTACTACTTCACAAATAAGGTGTTTTGTTTTTGTTTTTTTAACTCTTGGCTAAGCTACTTTATCAGTGAAGGCTTTTAAAAAAATTCTTTTATTTTCCTAATACTAGAAAGTTCTTTCTACACATTATGTCTTTTGAAAACAAATGTTTCTTTTCATCCATTGCAAGTATATTTTCAAAAATATTTGGGTTTTATATGGAAGGGCCTTCATGAAGGGAGAACGGGTGGGAAAGAAAGAAGGATGAGGAAAGAAAATNATGGAAGGGCCTTCATGAAGGGAGAACGGGTGGGAAAGAAAGAAGGATGAGGAAAGAAAATAGGAGGGAGGGGAGAAAGAACAAAGTTGAGAGAACCCTAGTGGGACAATGAACAATGAAAACTGGTATGGGATAGAGGATGACCTAATCTCACCTTAAGTCATTGTAGCATCCCTTGACCTTGAGAGCTTGTTTGGAGGTCCTAGCAGGGGAGTGCAGCTACTCGTATACCCTTGACAGAAGAATGGTCCTCTCCTCTTCCAGGAAGGTCATCCTTTTCGACAGAGCATGCAGCTTTGGGAGGGATGCACACCGAGCAGTGAGGGAGAAAGGGAACACCCACCTGGCCAGCCAGATCAGCTGAATCAACCCTGGTGATCAATGGGGTGACAGATGTCACAGCCAGATCGCCCTCACATCCACATTGTAGCATCCCTTGAGATTCAGCATCTCCACATTCCTCCTCCATCATAGCATTATCCTCCACTACCTCCCCCACTTCCCACCCCCTCTACCTCCTACCCTCCCCAAGTGCATGTACTCATTAATGCACACGGACTCCAACCCCCCACCCCCCACTCCAACTCTTGACCTTGAGTTTAAAACCCTAGGTCTTGTCTATCTGTCCAAGGGAAAAGCACATGTGAACATTTTTTGTTGCTTCCAAATGGTTTATTGCTGGGACCAGGAAAAGGTCAGCAATTCATTGTCTATACTGTAAAGCTTAAAGAGTTTCTAGAACTTTCAAAAGCTTCCTGAAGCTTATACTGCCCTCGAACATTTTGACAGTTGTTTGCCTTTTCAGCCTTCCCAACACACAGTTCTATGAATGAGCAGCCTTCCACATCCTGCAGCATTTGAGTATTTTGTACATGGAAAAAAATAAATGAAAGAGAATTTTAAATAATATGCAACGTTGGGAAGACTGATGGGAAACAGGTGCTCAGACGTGGTATTAATAGTGTAGCCATGACAACGTTTCTGGAGGCATTTAGCAACATGAAGGTACTTCAAAAAGTTTGTGGAAAAATGGAATGGAAACAATTTCCTGAATATTTCACTTGGTGGATGCACAGGCTTTTCTAATACTAGGTGGTGAGTTGTAGGATTAATTTTGTAGGATTAATGACAATATCACCCCCACAGCTTTCATTTAAAATGGGCAAGATACTGCTTAATTTATGCAAACTATCTTCTTTATTCCTTAAAACAAACCCCAGGTAATGATTATTCTCATTTTGCAGATGAAGAAACTGAGACTCTGAGTGGTTAAGTAAATATGAAGTCTAGTAAGGATTTGAGCCCAAGTACTCTAATAGCAAAGCCTGCACACACAGCCCCGAAGCTACATTGCTTCTCTTATACATTTTTAAGCCTGAGCATCTCTTCTGTGGATCCTTTGGGCCAAGAATAAGAGGTGTTCAGGGAAAAACGATTTTAGTAGGAGTCTAGCCACAATGCAACAGCCTTTGTAATACAGACTTCACTGCACTTTGGTTTCATATTTGCTCTATAATATCTAAAAACATGATTAACTTATGTGATGCCTAAGACAAGCTTAAAAACACGAAGTCGAAAATGAAATCTGAGAGTATTTTCCCAATAGAAATTTTCCTATGGAGAATGTAGCTAATGTCTCTACCTTATTCTCAGCAATGTATGAGAGTATATAGAAATTTTAAAAACACTGACCACAAAAACATGAGTCTGTTTAATTAACACAGAACATCTGGAGGGTAAAAGTTTATTTATCTGCCAGCAGAATCCCAAGATGCAAGAAAAGTACCACTAAGGTTGGACAAAGCAGATAATTGACATTACTGATTTTTAGTGAGGTTCCAAGTTCTTTTGGCTGTTTTATCTGACTGCACTATTTTTATTTTTTTATTTTTTTTTTTTTTTAACACAGAACATCTGGAGGGTAAAAGTTTATTTATCTGCCAGCAGAATCCCAAGATGCAAGAAAAGTACCACTAAGGTTGGACAAAGCAGATAATTGACATTACTGATTTTTAGTGAGGTTCCAAGTTCTTTTGGCTGTTTTATCTGACTGCACTAAGATACACACACACTTTAATGTAAAAAACAACATATACTGAACTAACTGCACAACGACGTCATTACTGAAACATTAACCGTGATTATTTTAATATTCTCACAGACTGCAGTTTTGAGAATATACTGGCATGATGTAAGGAGGCGGGAGAGGAGAGGGTAGAAGAGAGGGTGGTAGACAGAGGCAAGTAGTCTTTGCCCCCAGAAGTGAATAAGGACTAAACACAGACAATGGGGGGAAAACATATACTAATTCGCATAACAGAGAGTGGGCAACACACTAATACAGACTATAGAATTCTTTTGCTATGACTCAGTTCTTATTTTTTCTTGTATCTATGTAATTGAAATTTCATCATGATGAATAGTGCTGTGGAAAAAAATATTTTTGTGGGAAAAAAATATGTTCTAAATACAAGCATTTGACTTTGTGTGTAATACACACACCTTTTTAGAAGCCATGAGAATAACCTACGCTCTAACAATAAAGATCTTTTAAAACTAAGGGTTTTAACTTCTATCAGTTTCTACTTAATCATTCTTTCAAAATCTATTTTATACACATTTCTTAAACAACACATACTTTATGTAAAATATAAGAATGTACATTCTTAAGGTTAGATTCAGTGACAATATTTTAATCATTCTTTCAAAATCTATTTTATACACATTTCTTAAACACATACTTTATGTAAAATATAAGAATGTACATTCTTAAGGTTAGATTCAGTGACAATATACACTATCTGAATCTAGTAACACATTTTCTCTTTGCTGCATATAATAAACACAGGCTGCGTTTTTATGATCCATGCAGTAAACAAAAATCAAGCAAACAACTAGTTGTCCTTCAGCTCCTAAAATGAATGCCCCAGGCACAACAGACTTAAAAATAAAAGCACTGATGGTTGCCTCAAAACCATGCTGGGCTGAGTTAGTCCTGGAAGAGCTGGTTGGAAGGGCCACAAGGGCAGACTGGTAGCCACAAATTTTCTTCTTGTTTTCATATGGGATTGACACTATCCTCTCCTCACATGGCTTTTCCCTATATCACAGGCTTTTGCTAAAGAGGCATTTCAGGCTTCAAATTGAAACAATCAACCTTTAGTGAAAAAGCTGAGAAAAGACTCTTGAGTTTCTGATCCTGGAAAACAGCTTGCTGTAGGTCCTTTAAGGCAAATGTCACGAGTCAAAGAAATTGTAGAGCAGTCTTAAGATGTAAACAATAAACCGCTGACCGAGGAATTATATCCCTGGATGAAAACTCTTCACAAAAAGGTCTGTTTATATGAATAAGTTCAACTTCTTGGTTTTTGAAGTTAACATGAATTTTGTTTTCTGAAGTTGACATGAATTTTATATCTTAGAAGAGCTGCATATTTCTTCTATTATAGAGACTTCTAGGGTAGATGAAAGTCTGTAACGTTGCTTAAAAACAAACAAACAAACAAAAAAACAATATAGCATGAAGAAGGTATTCAAATACCAAGCAGTTTTCCCATTTCTTTTTGTTTGTTTTACTTTCCCATTTTACTTAAGTGGTTGGCATAAGGAAAACCAAACTGGGAAATCATAATGTTGGAGTATTTTAAGGGCATGCTATCATAGATATTAACAAGCTTATTTATACAGTAAGACCTCTGAGGAAAGTGCTCAGCTCGATGCCACATTCCAGAATAGCCACCATTGGTTTCTTTTTCCAAATTGCGCATGTTCACAGGTTTCACAAATATCCCTGAAGTCTTCCCAATGTGCTTGGCAATGAGAAAATTCATGACAATATCATCACAGTTTTGAGTTTCATCTATCAAAGCATGGACAGCTGTGGGTTGCCTCTGAAAGAGTTGAAGATACTTGCTACTGAAAAATGAAGCTCCAATCAGCACCATCGAGTACTGGTCACCATTTCCAAACCCTGGTATTTGTAGTTCAAAACCTCCATAATTGTAGATACCTGATGAAGTAGAGACATGCTTTCTAGGAACAAATCCCACAATTTGATCAGGAAATTGCTGCCAAACTGAGAAAGCAAAAACAAGGTCCTGGGCACTAATGATAGTGTCATCGTCTACCATGAATACCGCATTGGTTTCCACTTCAGGGAAGGCCTGGAGTCGATTTCTCATTCTGTTTGCTGTCTGTAG